TATTTTCTTTGTCTCATCTCGTTAAACACACCTCAGTCTTTAATTACTGAGCGGCACAATGGGGCTAATGACGAGCCCCAGCCAAGCATTTGCTCTCTTCACGATTTTTTTTTATTTTAAGGGATTAACCCGTGAAAACCATTTGTTAAATCTAGTTTGGCCGGAGAGCGACTCTGCAAGCAGGGCTAAGCAGGAGGGCGACTCCCAAGCAAGGCCCCGTGAGCGGTCCTGAAATATGTATGTCGTGCCGAATAGGTAAAACTTGGGATTTTGGCTTAAATAGCAACGCTCGTCTTGCCGAGTAAGGGAAGCGAAAATTTTTGTATGCAATAATTTCGCAAAAACCATTCTGAACCTAACGAAAAAAAATATATTTTAATGTGTTTATTATTAAATTATTGTAAACTTGTCTTACTTATTCGGCACGACATTTATATATATATATATATATATATTATATATATATATATATATTATATATATATATATATTATATATATTATGATATATATATATATATATATATATATATATATATAAGTTACACCTCTTAAGAGCAAATAGGGATCCATAGCCTCGGAAAAGTAGAGGTTGTTTGTCCTTTTAGAATTATAAAAAGTATTTCAAGCAATTTTAAAAGATTTCTCTTAAGTGTTTTGGGTATTTTAGATCATGAGCTATTTCATAAATCTTCAAAATTTCTTTATCTATGAACTCTGGGCTGCAAATACGAAAAACTTTCAAAAGCATTGATGAGAATACACAAAGTTTAACTATTATGATGTGAAGAATATACGTGCATGCATATGTCGGAAAAGAAAAAGACTTTTGGAGAAAAAATCATAAGGATTTTTGGAACTCAGTATTTTCTTTTTCTTCCCTTCATATGTTTTTGCAAATATTTTTATTTCACTTGATGAATCAGAAATGAGAGAAAGAGAAACATGTATGAGAGCATGAAACCTCTGATGAACACGAACTGTACAACAATATTTAACTGGGATAACGCATGGTCCTGAGTAGAGCTTTATGAAGCCACGAAACTTATTTTTCCTGATTTAAGTCGCGTGCCCATGATGCGACAATTATGGATCTCATCACGGTCTCATGAAGAGAAAGCTGGTTGCTCTAGACTCCCTGAATTCCCTAACAATGTTGTAATCTATCTTTTTCAGCAGCGCTGTATAGCCCTTGTGGCTTAGCGCTTCTTTTTTATTATAATGATAATAATATCTTTTTCAGGAACGAGTCCTGAGTAACGCAACTAAACTGATGGCTGTAAAGAAAGAACGAGAAAGCTACGCCTTGTGATACTGAAAATATAACTAGGGGGTAATATGGTGATAGAATACGAAATACCCCAGGGGGACAAAGATTATACATAGGGATTGATTGTTTACCAGGGAAGAGCAATGGGGCATAGTTGAGAGGCACACTTTTTATGAAATTGAAGTCTGTGATTATACCTTAGTTTCGAGGAAGGGATATGAGCAAAAATTTTTAAAGTCATCTTAGCGAGTTTTCTGAACATTTTGCCTTCCAGGGCGTCACCATCCATAAGGGTCTCACGTATCTCTTTTCATCTAAGATTAACTTGATGGAAAGTTCGACACTCTTAAGCTGATCTTTTTGCAAAAAGAACCTTCTAAAAGCAGATGCCCAAAAATATATTCTTCACAGTACGTGTGGTAAGTGGAATAAAATGCAAGTCTCAGCGGGAGTGAACTCCATCCAGGGGTTTAAAAGGACTATGACAGCACTTTCAAGACGGCTGAAATTTTAGACGCGAGAACAAGAACTAGAGCTCAATATCAGCCAAGTCAAATAGGTCACTATAAATAATTTGTCCTACTTTTATACTATTTATTTACACACACATACATTTATTATTTGATTCAACAATCTTCAAACAATATTCATCTGCGATCCTTGCGTTCAACTTAATCGGAATTTCGATGCGATATCCTTTACATGCACCCTAATTAAAATGTGTAAACCTCCGCGTGCCGCCTACCCACTCACTTTCCAAAGCAATCTGTAAACAATATGTGCTTTCAATTCCACCACTTATTCTCTGATAGCAATGCAATTATAAGAGCTCTCCTTTCATATCGGTATTTTTACCGCAGAAGACTTACTTCTCATTTCCTGGGAGTATTGAAATCCTTTGTTAACCATGAAATACGAAGCTATTCTGTTTTTTTATAAACTTAACGAAAAAAATATTCCTGCTACCGAATTCTCTATTCACTAGCGATTGGTTTGCATCTGAGATTACGTTATACCTGCAACTAGCAACGACTGGCGCCGCTTGATTATACCTTCTAAAACATACATTGCTTAAGGTGTTAAATATCATTTAATTTCAGTAAAGCAATACTCCAATCCATCTAAATTTCGAATAGTGTGTTTTTTTATGTGTGTATATCATCAGAATATAAATATGTACTCACAGTTCCTACAATGTGAAAGGATAGAGTGAAACATGCCCAGGTGAAGAAGATAAGATTACAGAATTGCACTGAGCAGTCGTTAAAGAACATAAGAACGAAGGAACACTGCAACAGGCCTACTGACCCATGCGAAGCAGGTCCATGCCACCCACCCCCCCGGCCTGGAAAAATGACCACCTAGTCAGGTCACTTCCACTTAAGGAAGGAGCACGGCACCAAACCTGGTAGCACAAGCTAGTCAGGTCCAACTCACACCCACCCACATCCACTCGTGTATTTATCCAACCTATTTTTAAAACTACACAACGTCTTAGCGTCTATGATGGTACTCGGGAGTTTGTCCCACTCATCCACAACTCTATTACCAAACCAGTGCTTTCCTATATCCTTCCTGAATCTGAACTTTTCCAACTTGAAGCCATTGCTGCGAGTCCTGTCTTGGCTGGATATTTTCAGCACGCTATTTACATCCCCTTTATTTATTCCTGTTTTCCACTTATACACCTCAATCATATCCTTCCTAATTCTACGCCTTTCTAGAGAGTGCAGATTCAGGGCCCTTAGTCTATCCTCATAGGGAAGATTTCTGATAAATGGGATCAACTTTGTCATCCTCCTCTGTGCGCTTTCCAGTGCATTTATATCCATTCTGTAATATGGCGACCAGAACTGTGCAGCATAATCTAAATGAGGCCTAACCAAGGATATATAGAGTTGAAGAGCAACCTGAGGACTTCTATAATTTATACTTCTTGATATGAAGCCAAGGATTCTGTTAGCTTTATTGTTTTTTTTTTAGATGTCATTCATTTCCCACCAAGGCATGGTGATCCAGAGAAGGAAACACATTCAATAATTTAAGCCCAAGCGGTCTTCCTATGAGGGTTCTAGATCATGATCAGTCTTGACCTTTATCCAGAACCCTTATTATATATATATATATATATATATATTATATATATATATATATAATATATATATATATATATATATATATATATATATATATGGCTGTTCAATATATTTATAGATGGAGTTGTAAGAGAGGTGAATGATCGGGTGTTGGTAAGAGGTGCGGGTTTAAAAGATAAAGAATTTAACACCAAATGGGAGTTGTCACCGTTGATCTTTGCTGATGACACTGTGCTTTTGGGAGACTCTGAAGAGAAGTTGTAGAGGTCGGTGGATAAGTTTGGTAGGGTTTGTAAAAAAAGAAAATTAAAAGAGTAAGGTGATGAGGATAAAATTAGGTGACGAAAGATTGAATATCAGATTGGAGGGAGAGAGTATGGAGGAGGTGAATGTATTCAGATATTTAGGAGTGGACGTGTCAGCAGATGGGTCTATGAAAGATGAGGTGAATCATAAAACTGATGAGGGGAAAAAGATAAGTGGTGCACTTAGGAGTCTGTGGAGACAAAGAACTTTGTCCATGGAAGCAAAGAGGAAAATCTATCAGAGTATAGTTATACCAATGCTCTTATATGGGTGTGAAACGTGTGGTGAATATTGCAACAAGGAGAAGGCTGGAGGCAGTAGAGATGTCATGTCTGAGGGCAATGTGTGGTGTGAATATAATGCAGAGAATTCGCAGTCTGGAAATTAGGAGGAGGTGTGGGATTACCAAAGTTATTATCCAGAGGGCTGAGGAGGGGTTGCTGAGGTGGTTCGGACATGTAGAGAGGATGGGACAAAATGGACCGAAACGTCGTCTTAAGTGTGCGGGTTTTTGGTGACTTGTTCCAGCCACGGTATTGTAACATTTTACTCTTTGTTCCACACTTTCTATAAAACCAAATAAATACAGCTTCAAGTTTTGCTCTAACCTACACCTTTTACATCACACTTCAAATATCCTAATTTATTGAAAGAGTTAATTGACCGTACCGTGAACGTAATAAATTGTGTTATAGAATCCTTTGCACCAAGCCGACAGCGTTGCATCTGGAAATTCACTTGTAAATGCAAGCATTCCTTATGGTACTTCAAGAGAATTCCTTAATGAACTGTGTGAAGGTATCGAAGGGCCCACACATAATGGTATATTGGAAAACTATTACACATCAGCAGCTTTAAAGAGTGTGCGTCTCTCTCCGTCTCCGTCTATAGCTCCGTCTATAGCACCGTCTATAGCACCGTCTATAGCTCCGTCTATACCTCCGTCTCATATGTGTTTAAGTCTCTCAATGATCATCGGGTTATGGCACGTTTAATTTCCTTCAGTGTTGTAAATATTAATCGACCAGATGATGATTATTTACGATGACTTGTAATATCTTGTTTACCAACAAATTATTTTTTTCGTATTGTGATTTGATATGCTAAATTTAAAATATACAATAATGATTTTTTACTGATATTATAGATAACCGGTTTCTCAATGTTTTCCTACGGATTTTCGCTATGATTATTAAAAATTTAATACTTACTGCCAAATATTCTTGCCTAATATTTGGATTTAGCGCTTCACTGAGCAATTCTAAAATCTTTTCTTTGTAAATGCCTTGCACCAGCATATTTATTATTTTTTTTTGTCTTGACCCCCAGACTGCGCTGAGCGACGCCAGGAAGGTGACGCTGCGCTCAGTCAGCCTGCAGTCTTCGGGCAAGTACAAGTGCGAGGTGTCGGCAGATTCTCCTTCCTTCCACACAGAGTCCCGCAGCGCAGAGATGCTTGTCGTGGGTAAGTCAATAAATCTCTCCCTATGCATTTCAGTGGCAGAATATACCTACAAGTATGAAAATTAAACAATTTGTGGCTTATGCCATTTTACTGAAACAACATTTCTTCCCTGCTGGAAGAAACGTTCTTTCAGTAAAATGACGTAAACCACACAGAGTCCTGTTCACACAAAAATCTCTCTGTAATAATCGGTTTTAGCTGCATAACGAATTCACATCACGAGATGGATACTAGTGTGTGTCAAAGTGTACAGTTGACAAGCTGAGATGTTTATAGGTAGTGGAGCTTAAGCAGTTTGAAAATGTACAGAACACTGGAGTCGGAAGATTCTTCCCAGTAAAAGGATACTCACTAAGCTGCAATCCACAACTCACAAAAGTAAAAATATCGGACGACACACGCATACACACACAATTTTCTCCACATTCACTTCCATCTGATAGTCTAAGCGGAGTGTATGGTCACGGAACGAGTGGTAATCGAACCCATGGCAGGCGAGTCCTAAAATTCAGAGACCAGGGAAGCTCTTTATCGTTGAAGAATAACATCATACTTCAAGAAATTAGGCAAGGTCATCACTAGGGTTCAGGACACAATAGTCAGCATTAACTACCTTCAACGACGTACCACAGGCACTGTCACAAAACTCTCCAAGTTTCGCATGATGGGCAAATGGCTCTCACCCCTGTCTCGTCCATGAAGATCACTACGTAAGCTGCAATTCCTAGTATTCTCAATCTATTTCATAGGATAAAACATATTTGGCCATGTTTCCATATGATTTACCAATTTCATGTGGCTAGGTACAGCATCAAAGTTTTTGGAAGTAAAGTCCATTTCTTAAATCAACATCTTTTTTTATTTCCTTGGTCAAGCGTGGCACTGGTGATGTGTTTTGGGAATGGAGCTTTGATTTTATTTCATTAGAACAATTTTCGACGGTATTCAGGTAAGTATTGTTTACTTGCAACCATTTCTTTACCTGTTTTGACAGGTGGCACGAGCCATTGTCTTGCATAAGGTGTGTAGTGTCACGAATTATGTGGAATATGAGGAACTGTTCCTTAAGTACATCTACCGTACATACAGACCCCACAAATGATGGGTCGCCTGTGACTCAATATTATTTGCCGAGTTTTTATCTTTTACCCATTTTTTTTTTTATCTTGCCACGGTACATCCCGCCAAGCTCAAAGTGCCACATGCTCCTGATCAACAATGTAAGTTGTCTACTGCCTCTGTATTTACGTTCCACCCTCATTACTTGGTAAACTGCTGGGTAAACCTCATTCGTTGTGGTTCCGATTATATTCGCCCGTATGCAGTGCATTATGTTTGTCGTTTGTTCATTCACTTTCCCACTTCATTATTACTGTATCATCTGCATTTCTGTACAATAATTTTATGTTTCTGTTCATTGTTGTGTTCCATCTTAAGACGGCTTGTAGAGTATCATTAGATGAAGGATATATAGCAACAGCAAGTCGGTGAGCAAGATGCATGTGCAACACTTGGGTATCTTTGACGGAGAAAAGTTTCTCCTGCCTTATAAGTCTCTCAGATTAACCAATATTCATCAAGACTAATGGAATGAACACCTTTCAACAAATGTTAATCAAGGCTGAGCGGCTGAATGCCTTTTAATCCAGGGAAGGACTGAACGCCTTTACATTTAGACTAAGCAAGTCCCCTCCCCGATGAAGTAACCTCCGCCACCGCTTCATCTCTCATGCCTTAGCACGAGATTCATAAACCCTGCTGTGAAGGTAAAATGTTTTTTTATCCTGCGAAATGAAGATACCCAGGTGTTGTACAGGTATCTTACTGATCATCACCTTGTAGCACGAGTCATGGGTCGGGAGAGGTTTAAGTATGATGTATGGGGGGGGGGGGGAGATGGGACGAGGAGATGGGGGATTTCTGCAAGTGCGGGAACTGGATGTTTGCAGTTGGAAATTGAACGACTAGCTGGCCGTGATTAGTATTTTCGTAGTGATGGGGGAACTATTTTTATGGGAGCGCTTCATTGTTTGAGGTGGAAGAGAGGATGTTATTGCATGGTTAAGGTAGTGTTGCGTGAGGTGGAGAGCGTGGGCGATGCAGGGGTGGGTGTGGGCGGTGTTGGGGGTGGGTGGGCGGTGTTGGGGGTGGGCGTGCGTAGCGAAAGGAAACCTGTGGAAGAACTGATATTGTTGAGTAGGGTGTTGTTGTGGAGAAATTTTCTCCAGGAGGGGGGTATCAGCCCCCTTCAGCCCCTTTCAGGCTTGAGGGGCCCAGACCTCTCAGAAGGGGCAAGCGTCTTGTCTACTGCTACAGTGAGTAATTGATCACAGATGCCGTACGAGTATGCGACGTGTGGTCAACCGACCATTGCTCCTTGCAGTCCAGTGTTGCAGAGTGTATTTTAATAAGAGACAGTACATCTCTTACTTTAGCAGGACAATTAAGGAAAATCCTGCTACCACTTCGTTACCATAGTAAAGATAGTGGACATTGTTGTCTATGCTTAAGACAGCAAGAATCAAACCTTCTGCTTTGCTTCATCGAGGAAGTGGCAAGGAAGCAAAAAGTACTAGGTCAGCTTTTTTTTGTGCAAGGGGCAGTGACGGCATGGGGCGCTGTGGCGTCTTCAGATTACTTTTGACTCTACTGAGAGTGACACTGACGCCAGGATAACCAACAAAGAACAACGATCTGCGCGTTAGTGTGAACAAAGTGTCTCATAAAACACAATAAACACTTAAGAGAAGTGTGATCAGCTTCTTCAGTGATAACATTGTGAACAATAAAGACAAATCTTGTGGAACATAGTGTACCAGTGTGCGTTTCCTAGACAATGGAAGACGTGGACATCCAAGGACACTTCAGCTTCTATCAAGTCACCGATACCTGTCGAAGGTGTGAAGAACACCATAGCTCACGTTACAAGAGCAAGGTATGTTACGAATTTCTTGTGGTACGGGGGACTGCGCAGTTCTTGAGTCGCAAGAAGTTTGTAATCAACCTATAGTCGGCAGTAAGGTGTGGACTTTTGAGTCCAAACAAGTATGTATTTTGTCAGCCATCAGTGAATGAAATATGCTGACATAACACCCCCTAGGGGTAATTTATAATCTTACAAATTATATTTCTTGACAGCCCGTTGTGAGATGGTTTCGACAGCTTCTAGACCTCGTCTGCAGGGGCGGCTGTGCAGGCGATGAGTTGTCCTTAAGTTAAGTTTTCACTGTTTAAACTTAGCTGGTAATGCCATTTCTCAACAGTTGTGGAGTTGGTAGGTAAGACACAAAGGCAACAGTTAGGCAACTTTATACCGAAACGTTTCGCCTACACATTAGGCTTCTTCAGTCGAATACAGAAAGTAGGCAGGAACAGTAGAGATGTGAAGACGATGTAATCAGTCCATCACCCTTGAAGTCGTAGAATTTGAGGTTGTCAGTCCCTCAGCCTGGATAGTTCAGTTCCATAGTCAGGAACTGAACTATGGAACTGAACTATCCAGGCTGAGGGACTGACAACCTCAAATTCTACGACTTCAAGGGTGATGGACTGATTACATCGTCTTCACATCTCTACTGTTCCTGCCTACTTTCTGTATTCGACTGAAGAAGCCTAATGTGTAGGCGAAACGTTTCGGTATAAAGTTGCCTAACTGTTGCCTTTGTGTCTTACCTACCAACCTGTCGGTATTTTATACCATTTTGAAGTTGTGGAGTTATTAGGGTTTGGATGTCAGATATGAGTATGGTGTGGTACAGTTGTGGGGATGCAAAATAAAGGGAAGAAAGGTGCTTTCTCTGAACTTCAGCTTGAAAGGATATGGAGCAGGAAGGTGGGCGAGGAGTGGGTGTTGGATAGCATGTGTGGGAGAAAGTCACCTGGTGCAGAGCAAACCTTCATTAGAGACGACATTTCGCTTTGACTTTATTAAGTCGTGCGTGTGTGTGTGTGTACGAGGGAGGCGGTGTTAATGGTGACTGAGTCCTTGTTGGCAACTCCTTCGCTGGGAAGGTTCCTTGGGGAGCGGCTGTATTCTGTCTTCATAGCTCTGTCTTGTTGCTGTCTTCTCGAAATTCCCTCATTTCTTCCCTCCGTGCCTCTGTTGCGTCTAGGCAAACTTGATATCTGTTTCTTTCAGACCTGTCTTTTGCAATAAGATTTTTGTCTCACGATTTTCTTTCTGATGTAATAATAACTTGTCTGGATGGTATAAGACTGGAATGTGCGTGCGTGTGCGGTGTGTGTGTGTGTGTGTGTGTGTGTGTGTGTGTGTGTGTGTGTGTGTGTGTGTGTGTGTGTGTGTGTGTGTGTGTGTGTGTGTGTGAATGTAACTTGGGAACTGTATATATAAAATTGTTTTTTTATTACTGGCATTCGATGTTTGTATCGCATGAACCCCCATTCTCTTATCTGAAAACAGTTTCCTATTTTCTGTTATCAAAATATATAAACTGAGAGACCTTTATATGAATATAGTAAAATAAGAGAAAGCTACCTTTCCTCTTTCTCTCACTCACTGGATACTGAAATTAATTAGGTCAAAGGAACAACGTGTATAATTTCGCCTTGAAGTTTCCCCATCATAGAGCGCCGACCGAAGATGTAATAAACGCAGGTTATTGCTTTGTATACATTTCTGTTTCGTTCTCATTGCTCATATAACTGTGTTGGCTCCTTCGTGGGGTTGGGACTTTTGATGATATAGATAATTAATGGTTTGATAAGGGCTGGAAAGGAATGGAACAAGCTGGCAAACTAGCATCACTGAAATTATCATCATGGACTGCCTTAAAAATAAACTGGACAAGCATGAGTGAGAATATTTAAATCTTACAGAGGGCCTACTTAGCACAGACCGAGAAGCCTACTGAAGTGCTTTTTCATACTTACAGTATATCATGTCTAAGTAAACTGTAAGAGAGTAATCTTAACAAGAAAAACAAATCGAACTGATAAGGAGAGTATTCCAATTATTACTGTTAAGAATTCAATTAAAAAGT